CCCCCCCCCTCCCCCTCTCGACCAACGGATATCTGGGATAAGTGTCGTCTACACGCCCACCTAATGACCCTCATTCATTCAATCACCTTTTGCATCGCCCCCGAGTGAATGCACACACATCAAAGATCGTGGGGGCTATTTGAAGACGGAAAATCTTAGCAATAAAAACCGTAAGTGCACGCTTTTAAATTACCCACCAGCGGCACGGACACCCTCAGCATTACGTTATTATTTATTTCTGAGGTTTTTTTTATCGGCTATTTTTACATGCAGATAGGGAGCATTAATGTTGCTTAGCATTTATTTACTTCTTATCGGGGGGAACAAAGTGAAACATTATCAAGATATGTGCACGCACTGAACGTCACTCGTAATAATCCGTAATTAAACTAATTTATTGGAGAGTTCTTCGGGGGAATCGGAGGGAGAATACGATTTTTAATGGTTATTTCGCGTTGATTATTTTGCATGACTAGATATTGAATGTTATCTTGTCGAAATGGAAAATTTGTTGAATATTCAAGCAATTCTCGATTTTCAGGTCCATACGGCACAGTAAAACCTTGAAAATGTTGAAAATTTAGGCAATAATTTTTCTGAATTTTCAATGAGTTTGAAAATTCAAGCTTTCGTTGAAAAATCAATGATTCTTTAACATAAAAAATCCAATTTTCTTGAATTCCCAAGATGAATGAGAACTTTGGTGAACGTTTTCATTTGAAATTGAATTCAAACCCACAACATTGAAAATTCATATGACGTGACTGAAATTTCAAGAATTTTCCAACAGTGAAATACTATTTTATGGCTTGAAAATAGAAATTATTCCAAATAGAATTTTATTTGTCATTCGTTTGTTAAATATATTCACTCCAAAAAATCGAAACTCATTGCTCATTGAAAACTAGTATCTGCCGCTTGATAAAACTCAGAGAATACGATTTTTAATGGTTATTTCGGGTTGATTATTTTGCATGACTAGATATTGAATGTTATCTTGTCGAAATGGAAAATTTGTTGAATATTCAAGTAATTCTCGATTTTCAGGTCCATGCGGCACAGTAAAACCTTGAAAATGTTGAAAATTTAGGCAATAATTTTTCTGAATTTTCAATGAGTTTGAAAATTCAAGCTTTCGTTGAAAAATCAATGATTCTTTAACATAAAAAATCCAATTTTCTTGAATTCCCAAGATGAATGAGAACTTTGGTGAACGTTTTCATTTGAAATTGAATTCAAACCCACAACATTGAAAATTCATATGACGTGACTGACATTTCAAGAATTTTCCAACAGTGAAATACTATTTTATGGCTTGAAAATAGAAATGATTCCAAATAGAATTTTATATGTCATTCGTTTGTTAAATATATTCACTCCAAAAAATCGAAACTCATTGCTCATTGGAAACTAGTATCTGCCGCTCGATAAAACTCAACAAGTCCCTAACAGAATAATAAAAATCAGAATTTTATTGGGACCCAATAAAATCGTAAACAAACCCAAACTATCTCCTCGTATATTCGTATTCACCCATTCATTCCCATTTTTATACCCAAATATATTGTTCTGTTCACGGCGAGCATCATCGAAAATTCGCAAATAATATTGAAACTTGAAAACCAGACAATAACTATTCCCCCGTTGACTCACGTCTGTACGGGAAAAACTTTTTGTTTGAAGCAGTGCGCGCTGCTGTTTTTGTTGGAACATCTAATGAAAAAAATTCAGCGCGGAAAAACAACTCCATAACTCGGGAAATGAATAGCGGGGGGAATACGTGACGAAGAGACAAATGGGAATTGCATTATATTGATTGAAATTTATTGGAGGGTTTCCATGAATTGTGAATTTGTCGGACTAATTTCCATTCGAAAATTTCCTTTCCATTCAGTTTGTCGCAGAATGTTGCATTTTAGGAATGCTTTCTGGTGGGAAAGCATGAAATTTTGTGATTCTGTTCGATCAAAAGGATGAATGGGTGAAATTATGTGACGAGTGACGAGTTTCGAATTAATCTCCATTGAAATTGTTATTGTTATGTCTATGAAATGGGAAAAAAATTTAATCGTGCCAGAGGCCTCACAATCACTAAAAATGTGATGACACCTTCTATTCTAGATAATACGGACTTGAAGGGAGAAAATTCATTATCATCACTTCACCTTTGATCTAAAAATGGGATAAGTTATCTGGAACGGTTGGGAATTTGTATCAAACGAGTAATATCCCGACGAATCGAGGAAATCTTTGATACAGTGATTACACGGAGCGAAATTTTCTAGAAAAATGCTAGTACGAGTACTGGAAAAAATTACCATCCACCGGCTGTGAAAAATTCTAGTGCTGTTAAGATAAAATGTCTTGGTATTTCTGGTAAAATTTCGGGGGATTTCTGTGAAATTTTCACAGAAATTTAAGTTTACCCCAACACTTTGCGCCTCTTTTTCCGTGCTAGCACTAGAATTTTTCTAAAAAATTTCTCCTCGTGTAATTGAGCCCAACATTTTCAAAACTGCACGGAGAGAAATATTCGCTCTAATATTTCTCTCCGTGCAGAATCAAAAAAGCAACCCCGCCTATTCCCCCATCGCCCCGAAACGCCGCTCCATCAGTCCTTCCCTCTCAGAAATCACTCTTCAAAAAAAATCCTTCCGCACT